TCTCCTGTGACCCTTTGGTCTGGAATGAGGCCTTTGGGCTAGGGTCTCTCCTGTGACCCTTTGGTCTGGAATGAGGTATTTGGGCTAGGGTCTTCTCCTGTGACCCTTTGGTCTGGAATGAGATATTTGGGCTAGGGTCTTCTCCTGTGACCCTTTGGTCTGGAATGAGGTATTTGGGCTAGGGTCTTCTCCTGTGACCCTTTGGTCTGGAATGAGGTATTTGGGCTAGGGTCTCTCCTGTGTGTCATTCTCTGGTCTGGAATGAGGCCTTTGGGCTAGGGTCTCTCCTGTGTCCCTTTGGTCTGGAATGAGGTATTTGGGCTGGGGTCTCTCCTGTGACCCTTTGGTCTGGAATGAGGTATTTGGGCTAGGGTCTCTCCTGTGTGTCATTCTCTGCACCTGTTCCATTTGTAGGAAACAGAGATAGATATTGCAGAAGACAAAGGAACCTCGACTTTGAGACCTCTTCTCTGTACTGATCATGTCTCAAACTCTTGTGGCTTAGATTATTTGATCCTGAGTTCGCATAAGACCTGGTGTCCTTTTTCCAAGAAGTATTTAGCACTGCTTAAAGTTACCTGAAGAGTTAACTTTTGGTGAGCTAGGGGACAGGTTAGGGGCTTGTCGATGCTTACCAAAACCTTTAGCATGTTATATGAAATTATTTGTAATTTTTTTTGTTTTCCACTTCAAGTTTCTGAGGGACAAAATCCGTAACTTACAGCTGAGTAAATGCCAAGCATTCCTAGTGTAAGCACTGAGCAAGTATAATTAGTATAAAAGCAGAATACTTAGGATTTTTCCCACCTGTGTATGCTACTTCCTATATTCTAGATCCATGTTTAAAATAAAGTACATGATATTCGTGATATAGTGTATGCTTAATTCTTTTTGCTAAGATGATTTTTACTCTCATCAATTCTGCACGATTCAAAGGAAAATGAATGTATTTATCTGAAGGAAGTCTGTGTGGTTAGTCTGTTTACTGAATTAGGCAGTGAATATGTATATCTTAATTTCAATTATCCAAATATTTCTCCAGACTACTCCCAGATATGTTATTTTCTTAGTTATAATTTAGCTAGCATGAAATCAAAATTTTCAGTTTTTAACTCTGATTACATTACAGAAAGAAAGTGTAAAAAGCATCAAAATTACTGTTGGCATTTGCTAGACTGGATATTTTTGTTTCACGGTGACCCCATGCTACAATCTAGGTCAACCGGGCAAAGACCCATGTCATGATGTTCAAGTAACACCCTTATGTTTTCTTGTGATTTAAACATGTTGTTAAACTTGCTCCTTCCTACAAGTAATAATGGAATAGTATATTTAAACTAAAGTTGATTTTTAAAGCTACATATAGCAGGTTTTATGGACAAGTTGAATGCTGCATAGCACAACCTGGGACAGGTTTGTTTGTCTCTACACATTGCCTTCCAGTGAGTTCTGGCTCCTGTCCTAACATCTTCAGAGGCTGCAAAGCTTTGGACCATGTTGCCATAGGTTAGGTCCTTTTCATGGAAATGTGGTTTCCATATATGAAGCATTCACTTAGATGTCACACCTCAGCCACCTGTCACCCCAAGGTCAGTATGGGAACACAAGGGGTTTTAGATATCTATGCTATAATATCTGTGTTCCAGAGCCTTGTGAAATCACCATTAATTTGCCCTATTTCCCTGTGCCTTCCCAGGAACAAGGAAATCCAACATACAGCCTTTTCCTACAACTTTCTTCTGCCTGTGACTAGCCTTGGTGTTTCCCCATGTGTATCACCACATGGTATGGCCCACTTTCCTCCTGAGACTGTTAGCAACAAGCTAGCTTTTCAATGGTGGTTATCAATTTACCAATTGGATTTTTTTTTGTATTTCAAATTTCCTATTAATCCCTTTCACTATGAAACAAGAATGCTCAATTGCACCATTCCTGCTATGAGTCTCAGCTCCTGCACCTAGAAACACACCAGGGCTTCCTTTGTGGAGCCTTCCTCTCCCCTGCACATAGCCCTTTGCAATACAGTTCCATCCAGGTGGCTCTAAGAAAGGACCATATCATCCATCAGGTATATGAGATGGTCGGTTTTGGCAGGTGGAAAGGCAGCTTTGCCTTGAAGCCTCTCGCTGCTCTGACAAGCTCGAATTCTAAGGGTCCATTTATGAGACCTCATTTAACTTGGGTGGGGAGCACCTTGGCTTTCTCCAGTGTAAGAAGTGAGGACACCATAGTTCTCTCCCCCAGACTCACTTATTCTCAGGATGCTCTACTGGTGTTGGATAAGGGGGGGTGATACGGTCTGGGGAGTCGCTGTCTTTAGAATTAAGATCAGTTTAGAGCCCAAATCCCAAAACAGCAGGGGGAAGAATCCCATTTGATGTCTTGATATAAACAAGTCACTTATGGTATAATGAATATTCATCTCATTAAAATAAACCTTTTGTACCTCTTCAAATTTTTATTTTAATGTAAATTAGACAAATTTCCTAAGTGAGTATTGGGATAAGGCTTTCCCCATGAGTTAAATACCTCTTCTCCATGCACAATCCTACATCCTAAATTAACAGTCATTGGATAAAAAAAAAAAGAAAAGCCAATAGCAATCATATTGAATTGCAAATAAAAAAGAATTTTATATTAGAGAATTAAGTGCCAAAACAAGATAAAAATGAGTCAGGGCTATGCCTGGGTGAAGTGTTAATTCCTTTGAAAAGTTTTGATGAGTAGAAAAGAAAGTCAGTTATGACGAAAACAGGGTTTCTGTGGTTCACCCATTAGCCTTAAAGAAAATTTAAAAGGTAATTAAAAGGTCAAGGGAAGTTGGTAGAACATCAAGTTTATTAATGAAGCAGAATAATCCTATTCATAATCATTAATAAAGCAGACAAGAGGGAAGGTACTGAGCAGGTCCCACCTGTGGTGAAAATACTCTGAAAATTTATCTTCCCCCAAAAATGGATTTTAAGGAAAGAATTGGGTCTAATAAACCACACTGTCAGTTAGTCTTCTCTAGTGTTTCGCGATGGAGACCTGTCAGGGTAAATGGGTTTTGTAAATGATGTAGCTTTAAAATTTAGAGTTCTCGGTAACTGTTTAAGGACATCAACCCCTCTTAAAGATATATGCTCAAAGTGAGTTCAGCTTTAATGTGATTGGAAATATTTGGTTTTAAAGCTTCATTAATTTAAAAAGTTATTTGAATCCAGATATGTGCTTTAATTCATTAGAAAAATATCAAAGTCTTCTTTCATTAGTTTTACAAAGAAACAAGGGATTCAATGTGCCACTTGGTTCTTACTGGTCTTTAAAAAGAAAAAAAACATGTTATGTAACCCAATATTTTTGTATATTATTTAAAATAATTCAGCATTTTAAATATAATTTTATTAGTCTCATGACAAATTATCCTGATTTAAATTCCAATGCGAATAAGTATAGTATTGCTTAGACTATATTTCTGATGAGCTTACCAAACACGTGGCACCCAAAATCCAGGCTTTTTCTCTCCGGGTCTTAATTTCAAGTTTAAATTCTTGGATACACTTACATTTATTCTGAAGATGCCATTGCAGTCTTCCTAAGGTAGGAGAAAGAAATAAAGTAGGGGAATCTGGTCACACGTGAACTCCGAGAGAAGATAGGATTCATCTCTTATGCATGTATCATATTGGAGGCCTTGAGGAGGTAAAAGCTGATTCTGGTACAGGGTCTAAATGTCTATTTCCCCAAAGAAGTCACACAGCAACCGATAAAGATGTTCACTAACTTAAGTCACCAGGGAAACGCACCTCAAAGCCACGGTGAAGTATTATTTTATATGCACTGAGAACTCTGCGAGGAAAAAGTTAAAAAGACTATGGAGGACGGGGACCCTTGGAATCAACACGCACCATGAGGCTAAGAATGGGCAGTGTGGTCCCGCTGCTGTTGGGAATGGCTTAGCCTTCCCTTCTGTGGTTTGACAGACAAGTGGGTGCGAGGCTTTGGCAAATGGTCTGACTGCATACTCCGAGGATCCTATGCTTAGTTCCCTGAGTGTGCATAGACAAAAAGAGGATCTTATCAGGGCTGAAACCCAGTGAAAGTTGTTAGATCAGCGGGGTGTTGTTCTCACAAACATGCAAGCTGATTCGTGACCTCGAGCTCCCACAATATAAACAATTGATCAGGGCTGATCCTTTCCTAGTCTCTGCCTTGCTATCTCACTGCTTGTATGTCTCTCTTACACACACTTTCACTATGAAACCTGCCATTATGTAACTAGTCAAGAGGGCCCTCACTGAAGATTAGACAGTTGGAGCTGCCCAATTGCGGACTCCTAACATCTGTTAGTTAAACAAATCCTTTTCCTTTAAAAACTATTCAACATCAAGTATTTTGTTAAAGCCATGGGATATAGACTATTATACCATACCCAGAAAACATGTCTATAAAAAGAAAAAAAAAACAGTTACAGAGATATCTACATTGACAATGCCCATAATAGCCAGAAGGTAGAAACACAAATGCCCATAACTGGACACACAAGAACAAATTATAGTGAAATCATTCATACAGTGGACTAGCTATAGGAAAGGATGGAGTATTTATGAGTGATATACATAGGTGACCATTATAAACACAGATAAGCTGGGTTAAAAAAAAAGCCATTCACAAAAGACAGTTTGTTATCTGCTTTCATATGGAGGTCTAGAACAGGAAACTCTCCTGGGAAAATAATGGTCAGTTAGGCAAGAGGCAGAGTCAGGGGGAAAAGGACAGGGGTAGTCAGCATGTACAGGGAGTATCTTTGTAATGATATGAAAATGGCCACACTTGCCAGCTGCAGAGCCCTCAACCTGTCAAAAGCCATCCAATGGCACACTCTAATAGGGTGAATCATGCAGCAATCAAATTATGTCTCAATAAAGAACTATTAAAAGGGCTTATAAAGAGAAAAATTGTAAGTTTTGTTTCATTTTCTGTCCAATCTCCTTTTGGTTATATTTTGACCCCAAACCTGGGTTTAGTAAAAATTTTTGATCATCATTAAACTGTAAAACGAATCTCTCCCTGGATCCCCATTTCTGCCCATGGGTTAGCACACCATTCCTTTCTGCATCATGACCTTGGAATTGTCTCAGTTTTCCTTGTCCTCTGTGGACCATTTCTCCATTGTTTGTACATGTGTATATTCCTGTGTGTGTAGAGGCCAGAGGGTGACATCTAATGTCTTCTTCAGTCATTATTTTTTGAGACAGGATCTCTCAGAGAACAAGGAACTAAGCAGGTAGGCTACTCTCGCTGATGAGCAAGCTCTAGGCATCCTCCTGTCTCTGCCTCCCCGACACTGCGGTCATCAGTGCAGGCTTTTTGTGCGTAAGATTAATTGAGAGCTAGGGTTTGATCCCAGGTCCTCATTTTACATGGTAAGTATTTTACCAACCAAACCATTCCCCTATTACTATTTTTATCTCAGCTGTTTAGTAATGACAAGATTACTTCTTTCTAGATTGCCAGTGAAATTCTTTAAAATAAAACCAGACTACATTTGACCTAAGTAGCAAAAGCAAGAAAAATAACGGGAAGGAAAATTTACCTGTGATTGTCCAGAGACACACACAGTCGAGTTTCTGCTGTATATTCTAGTATTTTTCCTATGCATACATGAGGTCACACAATTTTTTATCTTCTCATTCTTTTAAGCTAAAAATATGCTGAAGTTAATTTTCTCACAATCTTATCTATTTATCTACATCATTATTTTTAGGGATGGTATCATAGTATGTTAGAGGCCCCACAACCCATTTGGCCCTGCTGCCCTTTTCAGTTTTGACTTTCTGAGCCTACCTTTCATCACACAGGGCATCCTGGTATCCTAGCTTGAAGCCCAGCATGTGGGAGCCAGGATGCCTGCAGGTGAATCACAAGTTTCCTACTTATTACACGGGTGACCTTCTGTTGCATGGCAGCTTCTTCCAAATTGAAACATTCCCTTGAGGAGGGAGAAGGAGTCCCATGAGACTCAGGAGATAAACAATGGAAGAACAGAAACTTGTAATGCTCTCCTACGCCCATCCCCTGCAGGAATAAACTGTAGTGGAACGAGACTGGCTATCTGAGCTGCAGAGTGAAGACTTAGCCAAGAAATTTCTCAGACTGTTGAACTGCCTGAAAGCTATGCAGAAAGATGCAGGGTTGCAATTTTGTTGAGTTTTTGCTAACCTAGGCTTTGTGGTGATGTAGTTGCTTTTTGATTCATCTCTGCTTCTTATAAATAACCCTTCACCTATACTCCCGTTAGTGATCTTAGTGATCGTGATAAAAACTTCATGGTTCACCAAGTTGACAGTGGTGCAATCATTACTTTGGTTTGTCATGAGTTCTCTTTCTAGGGTGAATGTGTGTGTGTGTGTGTGTGTGTGTGTGTGTGTGTGTGTGTGTGTGTGACACTACACCTTCCATAAATTATTTAATTACTCTGTACTTGCTTTCTTTATTCTTACTATATAGGTAACAAAAACAATCTGAGGGATGGTACTTTGTACTTTGTGTTTTCCTCTTCTAGACCTTTCAGGCTTCTTCTTTCTCCTCAAAGAACTTTTCACCTCATCATCACTGTCTGCCAATCAGGACCTTGTGAATCTCCACCTTAAATTTCTGGACTTATATTTTAATCTCATCAACATGGATGGGAAAGGAAGTTTAAGAGTGACTACCTAAGACTGGTGTGTGTTGGAACCATCTGAAGTCCTGGCCTCCAGCTGCTCTTCCCTGCTAGTGATCTTTACTTTCCTTCTGATTTGAGTTACTGAAAGCTGTGTCAAAGTTGTTTACCAGCTCTGCTTCACGAGGATGTGTTGCCTTGGTCTTGAGCATCAGAGGATAAGATTTTCACCTGTTGGTCCACCTGACTATTGGATATATAACCCTCTGTGGTGTTACTGAATAAGGGGTTTCTTACCAATGTCTAGAGGTTCATATCTCTGTCTCTCTGTCTGTGTGTCTTTGTGTGTTTCAATCTCCAGCCCCTTGCCCAAAACCCACAAACTGTATGGTAATGCATAGAGCACAGACAGGTGTTTGTGCACTGCAGGTGTGGGCACTTTCACATAAGGAAGCCAGTTTAGTCTCCCAATAGATACCTCTGTGTGAGTATCTACAATAGTGCTCTAGAGGAGGAAAAGATTGGGAAGGAAGGACTGACAAAACAAAGTCATTGCATCTGAGTTTCTATTGCTATGAAGAGATACGATGGCCATGGCAAGTCTTATAAATGAAAACATTTAATTGGGACTGTCTTGCAGTTCAGAGGTTTAGCCCACTGTCATCGTGGCAGGAATCATGGTGACATGAAGGCAGCATGAAGACAGTGAGACACACTAGGCCTGGCTTGAGCTTCTGAAACTTCAAAGCCTGCTCCCCAGTGTCATGCTTCTTCCAACAAGGCCACACCACGTAATTGCACCACTCTCTTGATCAAGCATTCGAAGATATGAGTCTAAGGGGGTCCATTCCTATTCAAACCACTGTAGTCATTTACTCCAGAATCAGCTAACATGTAAAGAGGGATCACTTCTCATGAAGTCAATTTCTTCTGAATGTTGCTGCCCTGCACAATGGCTGAATCCTTAAGTTTTCTTTTGAATCTCCCATAGATCTCACTGTTTCCAACAAGATGACAAAAGCATCTTCTCTGTGTTGTTCATCTACAGAGTGCTTTCCATCCCCCCATGAGTCAGCGGCCCTGGCTTGGGCTGGGTATGAGTACATAATAGAACATCATGGTGCTCTGAGGCCATCATTAATACAGTGAGTCACCCAGGATTCCCACAAAGCTTCAACTTGAAATGTTGTTATTATCTTTTTGGATTTTGTTCAGCATGAGTCTAAAATAACTCTTGATCCTTACATAAGCTTGTGGATAAAAACATCAGCTCTTTATTAATTCTTTCATTTGCTGATATGGTACATCACGACCTTTGTACCTGTACCATGTTCCTGATAATGTCTTCTCAGGTTAATGGAAGTTGTAGAATGTCTTTCTCCCTCTATCATGTCTGAAATCCTCGTATATTAGAATATTTATAATATTTTGCCTGGACAAGAGTCATGTTATGCTTGATATTAACCAGAGAGCTTACAGCTGAATCCATATTGGCCATATTTGTTAAAATGTATAATGCCAAACTTAGCCCTACTAATCCTTCTGGATTTGCACATTTTAATGGAATGAAAACATCATTTTATTTGGATGAGAGAGAAAATAATTTTGTTAGTTTGTACATCATCAACATTTGTTTGCTTTATTCATTTACTTGTAATATTAAAAGGAATCTCAAGAGAATGGGACATGGGATGGCAGAGCAGAGGTGAGCTAACATTAACCAATAAATAAATCTCCTTTTGTTTTCTATTAGAACACAAGAGACTACATTTCCTAGCCTTCCTTCATGCATGGTAAGGCCATGCTCTTTCTGTGGGAATACAGGTTATAGCAATATGGGCCCAAAGCTCTTTCTGGCAGAGCTGGTATCCTGCCCTTATTTGCCACAACAGATAAGACATGGTGAAGGGTAGATGCACCAGATAGAAGGAGCTCAAATACCTCTTTGGAGAAGAGCTGTGTAGCTTATCCAAAATGCAATACAAATATGCCATTATATAATAGTACCAGGATAGGAGGTTGTTACAGTTAATTTCCAGTTACTGATACTGACTGAAGAAAGAGGAAACAATGTTGCTGTGAGGTTATGAAAGATGGAATTTTTGTTGGGAACCTTGTGGGATGTCATAAAAGGGACACTTCTATACATTTAAAAGTGAATATTTCTTTTTTTTCTCTCTTTTCTCTCTCCACTCCCCCCCCTCTCTCTCTCTTGAGTGGGGTGAGGTGAGTGTCTTTAGCTGGTGAGTTTTACATGACCAGAGAGGAGGATCAAGCTAAAGAGAAGTTTCAGAGACTCTTCATTGTAAACATCTTAAATCCTATTAAATCCTAGGAGTTCAGGTTCATTGTCAGAAGTGGAATGGTGATTGGTGCTGGGACAGGAAGGAGGAGGAGCCTCTGAGATGTATCTATAATCTCACAGATCTTCTACCAGAAAGAGACACACTATGTGCTTACAATAAAAAAGAAACTTGTGGGGAAAAAATTTTTAGAGTTTGTGAGGGGGTTCCTGGTAGCCACTGGTATACATGTATTAAAAGGAATGGCAGAACTACCTTGGTTTTAAATTCAAGAAAGTTGAGAAGTCTTACCCTCCTGATAATGTTGGGATCGTTGCACTTGGCTAGCTTTCCAGCAAAGAGCTGGACCCCAAAGCTTGCAAAAACAAGCATCAGTGTCAACAACAGAATTGAGACCTGAAAGAAATTGGTGAGAATGTAAATCTCTTTGTGAAAGTTAAGCATTAGGTTTTAACAGTGATATTTTAAAAAGGATTTTTAGAGCATATTGTGTGAATCATATTTGTTTTCAACGATACCATCTGACTTCTCCACCACCTTTTACCTTCTTAAAATGAGAAAGAGAGAAACTAACAGTAGGTTTTAAATTTTTAAAATGAAATAATATGGCTCTCATGCAAGAGAATGAAACAAGGCATTTTATATGATTTTTTAAATGAATACTTTTTAATTTAAATGAACAAAAAGAAATGTTAAAATAATTCTGTCGTTATCCATTTTCCCCAAATGGAGTCATTTTCTTACTAGTTGAGAATAGATTAAAGAGATAGTGCCTTTGCCTTCTTGTGAGCAAGGGCTCTTGTGCTGGGGAGCATTTTGTACACTGTGACTCCATCTATTAGTTGTCTTGGGCTCCCTCTGCTGGCTGCTGCTTTTATTTCAGCAGAAAAAAAAAGAGGTAAAAGGTGACTTCTGTGGTAGCTGCAGAACTGCACTGGATAGAAAAATCTAAACGGATGTCATAAGTCATCCAAAGTGCTCTTCAGGAGAAAGACACGGTGTGGCTTCCTTTCAAACCTCATCAGAAGTTCAGAGACTCGTGTACGTGAACTGCTGGGGAGGGTGACAGTGTTTTTTCCTTCTCAAGAATCCATGTGAAAAGCCACAGTGTTACAGCCTTGTACAAAAAAACCCTGGGTCTTTTAAACAAACACACCTTTAAAAATATAAGCAATTATGCACTTCTTGTACCATCAGAGCATAGTTGTCAAATACTTTCACACCAGCTAAAGCTGCAGCTGAGCTAACACTACTTTTTCTAGAAAACAAGCATCTGTCTCTCATCCCGTTTCTCATACACAAGCAGAACTCATCCATAATAAAAGAATTTTGTGATCATTCTTCTGGAAGACGGACACAGACTGAGCAATGAACCTCTTATTTTGTTTTATTTCCAGCCTTATTCTTAGAAGGCACTAACAAAATGTTCACTCATCATGTTTCCCCTCGGATCATATTTGTGTTGAATGCTATTTATTGAGGCTGCTGGAAGTAAGGTATGTCTTTATTCTGTGTTTTAAAATATTGTTTTGCTAATAGTTCTAAGATGGAGGAACAGAGTCTGTTTTCCACGTCCGGTGGGACACACAGAAACCAAATGCACCTTTTCTCAGTTGCATTCACGAAGTAGATGGGCTTGCATTTTGTTATCCTTAATGAAAAGAAATCCCAGAGTAGAAACTGAAGTCAAAGGAAAAATGAAAGAGTGGATCCTAGCTGTGGTTTGCCATGCATCGAGCTTACAAATGTTTCTTAGAATAAAATAAGTCAGCATCAGTGGGTGGAGTTCCTGAAAGAGTTTTCTTGTCTCCTTTCTAATCCTCTAACAGTGAACAAAACTATATGGACTTGCCCTAGCTATCCATGTCTCCCTTTATCCCCTGGTCAATGAAATGATAGGACAAGATTGTAGTGAACAACAAGCAGAGAAGCAGAAGGGAGTTTCACATACCAGAAAAATTTCCTTGAAGCCACTGAAAAGTTCTCGAACAACTTTTCTCATTTGGGGCACCAGTTTGAATATCCGCAGAGGTCTTAGGCACCGAAGCACCATCAGGAGCTGGGCTCCTGACTCAGCAGGCACATTTTGGGGCATCCAACAAAGAAATATCAGGCTCACCTAGAAGGAAAAGTAATCTCTGGAATTTATACTGTCTCTTTTGCTGTGCACATTTCTTTCCATTAAGTGGGGACGCCATGAGTTTCATGGGGGACAGACACTCATAGGTGTGCACACCATCTGCTCACAGTAAACAATGAGTTTATCCTATGCCTGCGGAGGGATCCAAAGAAAGGCCTCTAATGTATGGGGTAGTGGGGGTACCCACTCTGTGTCTGTGTATTCCCCCCACATCCCACCTTGTGTTTTATCTTACTGCTCTCTTAACTTTGTCCTACTCAGGTACTATTATGGGATTCTTTTCACCAAGGACACTTCAAGGACATTGATGATTATCAACATGCAACCTCCACTCAAAGAAATTCTCCTTTTTCTTTCATTGAAAATAAGAAATTCCCAAGTCCATTCCAATAACTTCCCAATTTAATTGAATAGAACACTTGAATGGCTACCAGTGATAGTCAGAATTGCAAAGGATTTGATAACAAGAGGTTCAATAATTACTGACATGATTTATTTGACACAAATATTTTTGTATTAAAAGGGTCATAAGAATTATGGGATGTAAACTAGTTTGATGCTTTAGATTTTATTAATGCAGTCTCATCCACACATAAAACTGCAATTGCTATATCTAACTATATCAGTAGATATTGTGATACTTTTATGTACATTATTTGTTTAGATTTCATGTTCATACCCTTTATTTACATATAATAGATCACTATAATTTATTAAAGAATTTATGACAACTAGACCTCAGACATACCACTCTTGTATTAGGGGATGAAGAAAACTATTACATTTTGATAGTTAGAAAAGAACAAAAACTTACAAGATAGATAAATATGTCCATGACACCACCAAAGTCCCTGATGACAGCGGTAGGAGTGAAAAACAAGCCATCTGCCATAATCTTCAGATTAAGCTCAATGCTCATGAATATCACAAACACATACTCAGCAATCTGAAATGGGTAAATGGCACTTTGGTTGTGACAAAAAATAGCAAAAACAGGACAGTACTTTTCTACTGAGCTGGGAGCTAAGGTTTCTCCACAGTACCTGTAAAGTGGGTGCGTGCATGACTCTCCGGAAGGGAGATTCAAACATCATGGAAATACAGGAGCAGATGGTCACGGTGATCATGACCCAGTCCAGGTAAGTGACCAGTCCCAGCAAATCACTGCCAAAGAACAAGCATAATTGAGAAATGCAAATGCTCTACTCGTGTTTACAAGGGCCAGGGACCATGGCTTTGGTGACTCTATCATGACCAGTGTATCTAAAAACAAGCCTTCGATGGTATATGTCATCTATATATGGTTTGTGTCTGGTGTGTGTTTGTGTTGTATGCTTATGTATTCATTTGCATATGTGAAGCCCTGAAGTAGATGTTGGATTCTTTTTCATCTTATATTCTTAAACCTGTGTTTCTCATTGAACCTTTATCTGCCCTCCAATTCTAGGATTATATGCACAGGAGATTATATCTAGTTTTTTTAATAAGGGTGCTGGGGGTTTAAACTCAGGCGTTCATGTTTGCATTACCCACTGAGCCAACTCCCAAACCTAAAATTCTGTATTTTTATGAAGCAGAAAATACCACATGTGAAGTTCAGATGCACAGGGAAGAGAGAGTTTGTCATGCTTACTAAAGCTGGTGGTACTTTGTGTTTTTCACAGCTCCCGTGACAGGGTCTGTTTTTGATCTGTAAGAGAGAACAGTGTATAAAATTCTTCAACACAACAAGCATGTTAGTAATCACAAGCATCTTTTCATCTGAACTTAGTTTTATAACGTCTATAAAATGACTATTATTAGCTATGTTCACACCACTGTGGAAGGCAGAGACCACTGGATAAAAGAAAAATCAAAAAAATTCTCAATATCTTGGTTTTAAATTTGAGACTCCATTCAAGGATTTCTGGCATGACTTATCACAAAGTTAAACTTCGACGTTTGTTTAGAAACACTAATTGAAGATGCGTGTGTTGCTAGTTTGAGGATGTTCTTCATAATCATTTAGATAGACACTCCATCAGTTAGGGAGAGTTCTTCACTCCCATTCCATTCTGGTCCTGTGGAAGAATTAGTATGGCTTCTCACTGGAAGTGGATTCCTAAGGCTTAGTTTTGGGGACCCTGTGAGCCATTGTCAGTGAGGCCCCGGTAGTCTTTTTATGTGCATTTCCAATTACAACAAGGTCTTCATCAGTCCACTCAACTGTGTGACTGACAAAAGGAGAATTACAGCATACTAAATGAAGTGGAGAATTAGTAATTAGATATTAACATGTAGGCAGCCAACAGGGTAATTCGAGATGAAAACCTCACTTGAGCACTGATCAACTTCCGCCTTCTTTTTTTCACTTGGCCAAAACTCAGGGAACCTTTAAAATTATTATTCCATACTTTAAATAGTGAAGGCTTTTCTAGTACAGCAGAGGGACAATTGAATAGTGATCAGGAGAGAGTCACAGACTAGCTGGCGTCCTTGAGTAAAACCATCATCCTCAGACCTAAATGTCTTCCTTGGTTGGCGGGGAGGTCTATTAGTTACTTCCTTATTCTGTGACAAAATGCCTGACCAAAGCAACTTAAGACATAAAGTGTTCATTCTGGCTCACAACTCAAAGGTATAGTCCATCATGGGGGTGGGCAGTCATGGTAGCAAGAGCTTGGGGCAACTGGTCACCTTGTACTTGCAAGAGGCAGAGAATGATGAACATGAACACTCTGCTTACTTTCCCCTTTTTATTCTGACTGAGACTTATGCCCACAGAATGAGGCCAGCTCACAGTTAGACTGGATCTTCCTACTTATCATACCAAACTAGAAACCATCTTAGACATACCCAAGGTTTGCACCCAAAGTGACGCTGCATCCCAGCTGACGACCAATATCAATCATTGCAGAAGGGTGTATACAGTGACACATAGCCTCCTGTGGTACTGGGACAGTTTGTGCCAGCTTTACAGAGAAGATTTAATTATACAGAGAGGTGGTGTAAGCAAGAGGGATTGTTCTGTGATGTGGTTATGAAGAACTGGAGCGTCAAGTTAGAGATGTCAGTAGTGTGTGTCCTGAGTCCTGTGGAGTCCCGGTTCACTCCAGGCCTTTTTCCTGCAGTGCAGAGGCTATTTCAGGGTACATGTCTTCACATGGGCTTCCTCTTTGTGGGTTCATGTCTAAACTCCCTCTTCTTAGAAGGAAGTGGGATACTGGATCAGTACCATCTTAAGGACTTCATTTTAATTTAGCTATGTCTTTAAAGTTCCTGTTCCCAATCATTGGTACATTATGAGATAATGGGGGTTAAGACTTCAACATACAGATTTCTTTTGAAGAAACAGTTGAGTGTTCAACAGGTAATGATATTATATGATATAAATTATTAACACAGAATATCTGAGTACTTTAATGAGGGCACAGGGAAACACTAGAAAGTTCTCCAAGTCTCTCCAAGTCTCTCATGTATGTAGATATGTGTTATGGTGGGGGGATGCACTTGTGTTTATGCGGTGAAAGCCAGAGTTCAGCCGTCATTCTTCAGGCGTATTCTACTTTGTGGTTTAATATAGAACCTTTCACTGGGGCCTGAGGCTCACTGATTAAGACTTTTAGCCAGTGGGCCCCTGGGAGCTGCCTGTCTCCAACCCTAGTGCTAGTGTTACAAGTGCCGTGCCATCACGCCTAGCTTCTTACATGAAGTTGGGGATCAAATGTAGGTTTTTCAGGCTCACACTACAAGTACTTTGTCCACTAAGCTATCTTTCCAGTTCCATGTCAGGACTCTAAATATCTGTGATACGTACTTAAAATAACACTAGACAAAAATTCCTTTTATCCATCGGTTGGCTATGATATTTGACTTAGGACTCCTCAGACTTACACAACAAGAGTGCTTACCCATTTCTTCTACACTGGTGGGGTTGAGACAATGGCTAGTAGGTTTTCTTCTCATAACAACTGGTAAAGCAAACACTAGAAACACTTTGTTCTATGACAAAGGTCTTCATCAGAAAGTACAAGTCTGACAGAAGCCTTCAACAATAAATATCCTTAATCATGTCGCTGATTTTCCTTTTCAATCAAGGGAAAATTGAAACTGAACAACACTGACATACACAACTGTCAAAAATGTGCTAATGCACAGGGTTGTTAAACACTTTATCAATGGGAGCATCCTACAAATGTTACCTGCATGAAACCTTTATTTTCCACCTGTTCGGGAGCTCGGCAAAGAGGAGCAAGATGATTAATTAGCCCACTGTTTATTTTGTGATCCCATTAGGCCTACCCAGTCCGTTTTTTTTTTTTCTTCCTGTAACAAACTCCCTGCTGTTCACGGGACTCAGGCCAAATACCTGGTCCAAGCTCAGTAAGTGGCCCATACTTACGCATTGAAGCGTGCTCGGACCACCACGCGGCAGAAGTTTCTGAATCTGTGCTCCCGACCCACGATGAAGAGCGGTTTGTCGAAGTATGGGTGGTTCTCTCGAAGCTCCTCCTCTTGCACTTTCCTTCAAGCGAACATTTGCGGGATTAGAAGAAGGCCAAAGGAAAGAACCACTCCCAAATGAGAGCTTGGGACACAGCCACGTGGTACCTTTTCATCTCTGCTTGCTCCTTCTTCTCCTGAATCATCTTTATCTCGCTGTCTTCTCTTTGCGCATTTCTGTATCGCACTGTATTTGAGTGCTAGAAGTAAAAGGTATATGTACAGTGGAAGACTTTTAAAGGCTTAAAAGACTATTTTTAAAATTAAAAGCAATATTTCTATTTCTAAATGCATACTATATGGAGACTATAACATATATGATAGTTATATTTCTATATATATACATATGTATAACACCATATGCATATTGTTAATGGCCATGAGCATCTTGACAACTGAATTTTCCCTTTAAAATACAAAATGCTTAGCACATACACATTGAAATTGCATGATGTGCTAGGCCCTATCATACTGCTTAGGTTATAGAAAAGGATTAAAAAATTAAATCAGAATAAATAAGTTAGAGGATTTTAGTGTTGTATTTAGAAAAAAAACTGAGGTTGTTGAAATTTTTTCTTAGTATTCACAAAGCCCTGGGTTACACCCCCAGAAGTGCATAATTTGGGTATAGTTGTAAAACTGTACCAGAGAATCAGAAGTTCAAGGTAATCCTCAGTGACATAGTGAGGTTTAGATCAACCTGGGCTATTGGAGTCCCTTTATGGAGTGTGTGTCAACACACATCTCCAAAGCCATGTTCTTACTGGACTCTTACATAGACTGTCTATTTCTACTAGACCATTTCAACAAAAGAACCAGGAATCAACAAATATTGCTCATGATTAGCTCTTGGTATTAAAGGTCTCAATCTTCACAGCAGACATGGAATGACAGACTAGATTATATAAATACAACCCACAGGACCCATTGACAGTCTTAAGTATATACATATGTTTTTAGGAATGACCACTTAGCATTGGATACATAATTAGGGGGATCATCCCTGCAGAAAACAGACTCTCCCTCTCCCGGCAGCCATTGACTGCATGTAGTTTCTCCATCTATGGGTAAGGCCTTGTGAGATTCCCCCATCTACACTGGCATGTCAGCTGGTATTGTGTTCAGCTCTTGCTTATGCCCGCTCATTGGTGAGATTCCACCGGTGCGGTTTCACAACCTGGTCCTCTGTCTCTTACAATCTTTCTGCTCTTCCTTCCGCACGCTAGCTGTAGGAGCCGTGTTGAAGAGGTGTCAGTCGGGGCCAGGAACACACAGCCAGTTGTTCTCTGCATTTTGTGTCACTCGTTTTAACTGAGACATTTGCTCTGCATGGGATGTCTGTATTTTTTTCGGGTAATGATCTATTTTTGGTTCTTAGCCATGTAATTTACTACCTGAATTTTCAGATTCCATCTGGTTAGAAAACATCTTAACACAATATAAAAACTTAGGCATGAGAAATGTCTAATCAATCATTTAAATACACATTCATAATCAAGTTTACAAAATCCAAGGCATATCTTATAACTCACGTCTTGAGTTAAAGTTTCAAGAGATTTGCCCCTGCTGATCCTCTGGCTGTTGGATCCATGTCTTAGTGACCTAGAACAACCACAGTCATCTTGTCAAAACATCTCAAGACCAATTTTTAACTTCTAGTCAATAGTCATGAGTAAAGGATTAAGTTTCCTGATGTATCAGAAATGACTCGTTTCTTTGTTAAGCACAAGCTTGTGGTCTACCCACTGGTCTTTGATCCCATCTAACAAGTTTTCAGATATCTGTTCTTTCTGATCTTGAAAGTGAGACTTTGGCTATCACCAAGGAAAGAATCTTTGAAGTAAAGATTTTTAAATCTTTGAATCAGATAGGGAATTCCTTTATTGTTACCACCAGCAGCTAGAACCAGGTCCTCACCATGCCTGTCTGCCAACCAGGGTAGAGGCCTGAGCTTTGTACTGAGATACACTTGTAAAGTCTTTCCTGGATGTCTCTGGAGTTCATCTTCCTGGAGTATTTACCTGCGTTCCTGGCGGATGTGATGCTGCACACTCAGGATTGACCTCTCCTTTGCTGGCTGCCCCTCGAATGATCCGCTCAGCATGCGCTGTCGAGTGCAAGCTCTTGCAAAAGAAAGAAACCCTAGATAAATGCATGGTTTGTACACTCAGGATGAATAATACATTACTGCTCCTGGCTCTTATTAATTTTAAGTAAACACCAATGATAAGGCAAAATACAGCCAATAACACATAGAGGAAAATGATCTTTAGGCTATGTGTCAGTAACACAAAGTAGAAGTTCCACAGCCAAGAGAAACTAACGGATAAACAGAAAGCAGCCTCCTTGCCTTCTTCCTTCAAATTACCAGCACAAAATGATGAAAGCTTTTCTATAGGGATTATGTCAGCAGCAGGGTTAGTCACGATATTTGTTTCAATCTTAAACATGGAGGTCTCTGTAAGCCCTCAGGGAAGGTTCTTTTTTTCCACCTGGACCCCTGGAATTATGCCATACATCTTCAAAAAAATGTTTGAATTCACTTAGTGCTGCTTATATGTGCAATGCTTATAGAATCATCTACTGGAGAAATGAGTAGTATTTTTGTTTTCTTTTTTGGCTCATATCTCTGAACTTACTTATTTACTTCTTACTGCCCTTCTCCCAGAAGTATCAGTTGCCAATAGCATCTCAGGTAGGAGTAGGGCTTCATGAAGCCCTTGCTGTGGTGAGAGGTCACCTTCAGCACTTCTTCATTTCTATATCTCGGTATTATTGCTGCTAACTCTCTCTGTGGCTGTTTTCCCCAACTGTGCCTCCTCCACACCTGTGCAAAATTAAAATTAATGCCTTCCCATCATCACTCTTTCCTTGAGTCTATTGTTTGACTAAATGCTTTGACATCACTTTCCTTTCATGGGGCATGCCTATAACAATTGAATTAAGATACTAGGTAAAAGCCAGTCTTTATAAGCTGAAAACCAAGAGCTAATATTCTTTTAGCAAACTGTAAAATATTTATTGGAGTAAAGGCACTGATTGGGGGCAGATACAAAAAGTATGTTTGAAAGTTTCTTAAGGAATATCCTTCTACCGAAGTATAATGCAGGATTCTATTAAAACTAAAAAGTGAAACTCTCTTCAAGGCGTCTTCAAGGCATATTCTTTGTGGCTTAGAAAGTCTATTTATCTTTCAGCATTGTCTCATAGGAAACAGGTAAGGATATAGATGAAACATTTTTTTGTAGATAAGTTCATTCTTCTAAAAACACGTGGAAATTCTTACTTCTGCTGTACAATAAAAACAGAAACCAAACTAATGAATGGAGGAAGACTCTCAGATAGGAGGCAATGATTCTGGAACAAGATGGGGATTAGGAACACAGGGGTAGAAAAAAACCTGAAGAACAGTACTTTGGTTTGGAGACCACTTGAATAAAAAAAAAGAAACAGGATGAAAACATGTCATGTTAACATGTTCCTGTACATTAAACAGATTCAAGCTTAAGCTGTGCCATGTTTGTTGGTCATGTAAAATGTCTTGCTATTTTGGAAAGTGCTACATCCACGGCTGTCTCGCCAGTGTAGCAGAAATGCTGACTGGATGGGCAAATATTGCCGGCAGGATTGGGATTTGTGCTTCCAGGAGCTGTGTGTTCCAGGTGGGTCCCTGGCAACCAGTTGTGGTGTAAAGCTACCTGAGTTGCCATTAGTATTGACTCGACCTGGCTGTCCTTGGAGCCATATGTGTGTCTTTTCCTTTGTCTGTGTGTTCTTTGTGATTCTTGCAGATTATCAATAGATCAGACTATTCCAGGCAGTTGCGGATACAAATAAGACTGATAAGGACATTTTTGAATTCTGCTCCGCTATTAATCAAAGCCTTAAAAAAGTAGCCAGTTCTGGGAATTGCCAGAAGCATCATTAGGACAATTCCTTGATGATGTGGAACAAAAGGAGTTAATTTTACTAGGATACATCTTAGAAGCTTTAGGCATTTGCCTTAGAAATATGTGCAATTGTAAACAGAAGACCTAGCCTAAACTGACAATATCTGAGCCTGAGAATTGAGAAGGGAGGAAAGTTGAAGTTAGTGATATAAAGTAAACTTCAGAAAGATTCAAGACTATGTATTAGAATTTTCCTAGCAGAAAGCTTTCCCAGGGAGATAGTAGCCTTTTTTCTTTCTCACTCAGGCACACAAGGTCACTTAGCTCAAACCAACCAGCCACCTACAAGCTGATAAAGATGGTCTAGCTCAAGGGCAGTGATCTCTTTGAAGGCAAGAGGAGAGAGTTTGTTTTGTATAGTGTGAGAAAGCAGAAGTCCTTGTGCCCAAGTCAAAGCATCTTCAAAGATTCTTTTTGTAAATTATTTTATGCTGTTCTTTTCTGTCTTATGATTTGATGATGTATGCCTTTGCCAAGTTCTTTGATTGTAAAAAATATATAATCCTGCAGTGAAGTAAGTAAATCGCAACAGCATGTCTCAACATTGAGAGTGTCTGTGTGTCACTTTCCTCGCCGTATCCTGATTTCTCCTGTGCCTTCGCCCTGATTCCCTTACGGTCTGAGTGGCTCCCTTGAGCCGGTCCGTAGCAGGAAAGCAGTAATAATGGGGGCAAAGGTGTTTCTATTGATTGGATGTGGAAAGATGAAGGATGTTGGTCTACTCTCCCTCCATCTCTTTATTTAGTCTAAGTCCCTGGCCCACGGTGAATATCACCCTTATTCAGGATTGATCTTCCCACTTTTGTGAATGCTCTCTAAAATTCTATACCTGCCATTAAAGATAGAACCAAAAGTTTGTTTTCTAGGTGATTCTAAGTGTCGTCAAGTTGACAATCAATCAATATAAACCATCACCCAGTGGCTCTGGAAGAATCTCAACTTATCCCACATCTTGTGAGGCTCTGACTCCTATGTGTAATCATGCAAAATGTATAGAAAAAAAATGTTTCATCAATCCAAGGACATTCAGGGTTGTCAGAGGCCCAAGGCTAGGGAGTCAGCTATGTGCTATGCCCAGATTTTTCACCAAAATTATAAGACATAGAATATAGTGTTCAAATTTCCAAGTTTGGAATAATTTGTTATATAGTAAACTGGTACCTAACACAGTTATTTCCATATACTTAAACCTATAACTTCCTATTATTCATCAGAAAAAGATTAACACAGAACCTCAGTGTGACTTCCAAAGTCTTGTTGACTTCTTCCTAATTTTACCCTTTCCGATTTTTTTCTTTTACCAGAAGGGATTTCATTCTCTCATGGCATTCTCTTTGGCCACTTAGCTCTACACATAGAGCAGACTCTCAAAGTTCCAAGAGAGCAAGCAAGGTTGCATTTAAGGTTTGGTATTTTTTTTCAGCCCGTGAACAAAGAAAGCGCTCTATCAGTATTTGATTAATGAACCTTGAAATGCTGCAAAATCAAATATTTTAATTTGTCTGACCCATTTATACTTGCAAAGAATGAAAGCCACAAGTAAAATAGAATGCCTTGGTAGGCACTTTTTGATAATCTTAACTTTATTTCAAGGTGGAATACTGCATCACTCAAGATGAATAGACTACATACCTAGAGTAGATAAGACATGGAGACAGTAATAAGAAAAAGGATACCTCAGATGTTTCTTATCATAAGTAGAAAATTCGTTTTTATCAGTGTTGTCTATGCAAACTCGTGGAGGAGCATAAAGGCCGATAAGGAGCTGACTCTCTAAGAACAGAACTCATTTCAATCTCTCAACCTAAGAGCAGTCCCATCACTGGGAACTGGCTCCCCATGTATCTCATTTTACAGGAATCTTTTGGCAAATGAAGGACTCAGGAATGCGGGACATTTACCCCCCAACCTGACAAATGAATGTGCACATATTTCTAAGTGAAGGATGAATGTCCTTAAATGGCAAGTTATAATTTGCCAGTATAAATTTTCACTAACCTTTGTGTGTGTGTTGGCCTCATTGAAGGATACAAAAATAGTCTTGGGAAGAAAATATCAATTTACTTGCTGATCAGAGAAAAAGCAGAGATGATCATATCAAGAAAGCACTTTAGTCTTCAAGCACAGTCTCTACTTCTTTAAAGTAGTAGTATTTTTGAAAAAATATTTCAAAAAATATTTTTGAAGAAATATTAGACAGAGTAGAGATGGCAAGGTCTCTGTATCTTCCCAGCATCTTTTCCTAATGAAAAGTCTGAGAAGGCTGTGCAAGTTTCTTTGTAAACTGGTGGAAAACTGTGTAAACAAGGGCTCTTTTAGGAAGTCTATTTAGTGGTTTAATATTAAAAATAACAACAAGAAAAAGCCCAAGTCTGCCTGCCTGGCTTCTGGAAGTGAGAGGCACAAGGGTCTGTCTAGTGAAAAATAATGAAGTCTTTTGTCTTGTGTGAGCGAGGAGACCCTCCATTATGCAGGCATATGTAATCTCTTTATTCCTGTTCCCTGGAGGAGAATTACAGAGAGGCATTTTCCTTTTCCCAGTTGGGGTTAATGTTATGCCCTCTCTACCTTTGAAAGTAAAACAAGATGAGGACCCCTGATGATGACTCAAATGTGGGAATATTCCTCGGCAAACACACATTCCCAGTTGCAAAAATATTACCCCTGGTTTCTTGCCAAGCCTTTGAAAAAAACATATGAAAGATTGATTCTTTTCCCCCACCTCCCTGCATTGCCTTTGTGGTGTGGAATTTCAATTGCCCCTTATATGACAGCCACATATATAATCTTTTTTAGGAGCTGGGAGCAGAGAATTGTGTCTTAAGAAATTGTCTCTATTTTTCTTGACATTCCTCCATCAAAAATATTTTTAAATTGGCCCAAAGATGATGGGTATAAGAGTGATCTTTGGAGTTTTATTAGCCTTTAAACACCACTAGTGTTTATAGACACAGTAGCAGGGGGTCCTCTGTTCCTTTCTTTGTTTTCATGTCTTCTTTCTTAATGTTCCAGAACAAGGGTGTGGGAAAATCCTGCACATTCTATAATGAAAGAGAGGCCTAGGAGTCTTCAAATTATTTTTACTCATTATAGAAGAGTTAGATTACATGAGACCATCTGTAGTAAATGTAATTACCACCCAAAGGAATCTCAATGTGACTTTGCAGAGCATT